AAAATATCACAATCCAAAACAAATAAACTGGTTTTTACTAAAGGTTAAGTGTCAAATTTGAGAGATTAATGCACTTTGCTAAAGCAGAACCTAAGCCTGATGCACCTTCATCACCAATTTCATTGTAACTTTTTAAATATTGAAGAAAAAATATATCATTAAATAGTTAATTAGAAGTATAAAAATGAAGAAAAAATATAAAATAATAAGATTAATTAACAATTAAAGCAAAAGTTGAAAATAAAATGACGAGCTAAATTAACAAAGAAAGAAAGAACAAAAAAAAGCAAGCACAATAAAAAGAAAAAGAAAAAAGAGCTTTATTGTTTTTAATTAGTTTTTATAATTATAAATATCACAATCTAAAACAAATAAACTGTTTTTACCCAAGGTAAAGTGTCAAATTTGAGAGATTAATGCACTTTGTTAAAGCAGAACCTAAGCCTGATGCACATTCATCACCAATTTCATTGTTACTTTTTAAATATTGAAGAAAAAATATATCATTAAATAGTTAATTAGAAGGAAAAAATGAAGAAAAAATATGAAATAATAAGATTAGTTAACAATAAAAGCAAAAGTTGAAAATAAAATGACGAGCTAAATTAACAAAGAAAGAAAGAACAAAAAAAAGCAAGCACAATAAAAAGAAAAAGAAAAAAGACCTTTATTGTTTTTAATTAGTTTTTATAATTAAAAATATCACAATACAAAACAAAAAAACTGTTTTTACTCAAGGTCAAGTGTCAAATTTGAGAGATTAATGCACTTTGTTAAAGCAGAAACTAAGCCTGATCTACCGATTACACCAATTTTATTGTAACTTTTTAAATATTGAAGAAAAAATATATCATTAAATAGTTAATTAGAAGGAAAAAATGAAGAAAAAATATGAAATAATAAGATTAGTTAATTAATAATAAAAGCAAAAGTTGAAAATAAAATGATGAGCTAAATTAACAAAGAAAGAAAGAACAAAAAAAAGCAAGCACAATAAAAAGAAAAAGAAAAAAGAGCTTTATTATTTTTGATTAGTTTTTATAATTAAAAATATCACAATCCAAAACAAATAAACTGTTTTTACTAAAGGTTAAGTGTCAAATTTGAGAGATTAATGCACTTTGCTAAAGCAGAACCTAAGCCTGATGCACCTTCATCACCAATTTCATTGTAACTTTTTAAATATTGAAGAAAAAATATATCATTAAATAGTTAATTAGAAGTATAAAAATGAAGAAAAAATATAAAATAATAAGATTAATTAACAATTAAAGCAAAAGTTGAAAATAAAATGACGAGCTAAATTAACAAAGAAAGAAAGAACAAAAAAAAGCAAGCACAATAAAAAGAAAAAGAAAAAAGAGCTTTATTGTTTTTAATTAGTTTTTATAATTAAAAATATCACAATCTAAAACAAATAAACTGTTTTTACCCAAGGTTAAGTGTCAAATTTGAGAGATTAATGCACTTTGCTAAAGCAGAACCTAAGACTGTTGCAACTTCATCACCAAATTTATTGGAACTTTTTAAATATTGAAGAAAAAATATATCATTAAATAGTTAATTAGAAGGAAAAAATGAAGAAAAAATATGAAATAATAAGATTAGTTAATTAATAATAAAAGCAAAAGTTGAAAATAAATGATGAGCTAAATTAACAAAGAAAGAAAGAACAAAAAAAAAGCAAGCACAATAAAAAGAAAAAGAAAAAAGAGCTTTTATTGTTTTTAATTAGTTTTTATAATTAAAAATATCACAATCTAAAACAAATAAACTGTTTTTACCCAAGGTTAAGTGTCAAATTTGAGAGATTAATGCACTTTGCTAAAGCAGAACCTAAGACTGTTGCAACTTCATCACCAAATTTATTGGAACTTTTTAAATATTGAAGAAAAAATATATCATTAAATAGTTAATTAGAAGGAAAAAATGAAGAAAAAATATGAAATAATAAGATTAGTTAATTAATAATAAAAGCAAAAGTTGAAAATAAAATGATGAGCTAAATTAACAAAGAAAGAAAGAACAAAAAAAAGCAAGCACAATAAAAAGAAAAAGAAAAAAGAGCTTTATTATTTTTGATTAGTTTTTATAATTAAAAATATCACAATCCAAAACAAATAAACTGTTTTTACTAAAGCTTAAGTGTAAAATTTGAGAGATTAATGCACTTTGCTAAAGCAGAACCTAAGCCTGATGCACATTCATCACCAATTTCATTGTTACTTTTTAAATATTGAAGAAAAAATATATCATTAAATAGTTAATTAGAAGGAAAAAATGAAGAAAAAATATGAAATAATAAGATTAGTTAATCAATAAAAGTAAAAGTTGAAAATAAAATGACGAGCTAAATTAACAAAGAAAGAAAGAACAAAAAAAAGCAAGCACAATAAAAAGAAAAAGAAAAAAGACCTTTATTATTTTTGATTAGTTTTTATAATTAAAAATATCACAATACAAAACAAATAAACTGTTTTTACTAAAGGTTAAGTGTCAAATTTGAGAGATTAATGCACTTTGCTAAAGCAGAACCTAAGCCTGATGTACCGATTGCACCAATTTCATTGGAACTTTTTAAATATTGAAGAAAAAATATATCATTAAATAGTTAATTAGAAGGAAAAAATGAAGAAAAAATATGAAATAATAAGATTAGTTAACAATAAAAGCAAAAGTTGAAAATAAAATGATGAGCTAAATTAACAAAGAAAGAAAGAATAAAAAAAAGCAAGCACAATAAAAAGAAAAAGAAAAAAGAGCTTTATTGTTTTTAATTAGTTTTTATAATTAAAAATATCACAATCCAAAACAAATAAACTGTTTTTACGAAAGGTTAAGTGTCAAATTTGAGAGATTAATGCACTTTGTTAAAGCAGAAACTAAGCCTGATCTACCGATTACACCAATTTTATTGTAACTTTTTAAATATTGAAGAAAAAATAAATCATTAAATAGAGTAAGTTGCCATACAAATTTTCAAAAAGTGAGTTTTATATACCAGTTTTACATTTTATAAAATTAAAATTTTCGTAAATTTTTCAAAATTTATTTAAAAAAAAAAATTATAAGTTATAAGAATATACAGTATATATATTATTTCAAATTTTACATTTTGTGAATTTAAAGCTTTATAAAAACTCAAAAATAAAGCTATTTTAAGCTAATTTAGCTTTATTATTATGTTATTAAGAAATATTATATTTTGCCTTTTATAAATTAAATAGGCATTGCACTCTAGTTAATTTTCAGGAAAAAATGAAGAAAAAATATGAAATAATAAGATTTATTAATAATTAATAAAATTAACAAATAATGAAAAAAAAACCAATCAATAAATAATGATGATAATTTCTATAATAAAAATTATTTATTTTAATAAAAAAAAAATATTAATAATAATAAAAATAATATTTTTTAATAAAATATACTAGAGATCAATATGGAGAATCTAATGAGATAAAAGTGAAGAGCTTATAAACTTTTTTTATTAATTTATATTAATTTAAAGGATATTAATTAAAAAATTAATAATTACTTCTTCTAATCTATTATATCTTTTAATCTATTACATCATTTATTTATTTTTTCAAAAATATTGTATAGCAATTTATGAAATTTAATTAATTAATTAAAAATAGATAAAAAGAACAAATAAATATAATAATTAATTAATTATCAAATATTAATTTATATATTTGGTTTTATGAAGATATAGATATCACAAAAATTATTTAATATTCATTATTTAAACTGAAAATTTGTATTTAAAAGATATACTTAAAAATATAAATAGTATGAATTATAGATGGTCAGTTATTCATTTAGTTATATTTGAAAAAATAATAGTAGTTAATGTTCTTAAATATTTTAAAAAAATGTTTATAAGTATATTTTTCTGTTTAGCTCTGTAATTTATTTTTGGAATATTTATAATATCTCTAATTATTGTGCCTCTTATTAAGAAATATATTTTTATATTTTATAATAAAATTATAATTAATAATTTAATTTATTGTAATTTCTAAAATAAATAATTTTTTTACATTAAAATTTTTAAATTTTGCTAAATTTTGTTTTTTTATATAGCATTTTAATAATTACCCTCCAGGCGAAATGTTTGGAGGGCGAAAAATTAGGCTTAATAGGTAGAATATTTTTTTTCTTCTACCTATTGGCCCATAAAGGCTCCGATAGTAAATTCTCTGTAATATAACTCTAAAAGTTTCAAATTATTTGATCCTTTTTGGAGAAACCAGAGGGTTTGCTTAGGAGGATTTAATTTTTTTATTTTTTATAAATAAATAATTTATTTATACACAAAAATAAGAATGATATTTATAAATATAAAATAAATAATAAAATCTATTTATCTATCTATTTTATTTTAGGTTAAAAACACTTTTTCAAAATATTAAATAATAAAATATATAATATTATTCAAACATTTAATATTTATTCATCCTTTTTTCGCCAGTTATTTATCAATTGTGATTAAAGAGAACTAATCTTTTTGATTTAAGACACTTGATTATTACTTTGAATTTTTATGATTTATTCAAATCGCTAAAAATTTTAAAATAAATTTGTGTAAATTTTAAAATAAATATTAAAATAGAATAAACTTTTAAATTAAAAATTATTCTTTAAATTAATAAATAAAATAATATTTGTGGAATAAAAAAGATGAAAAAATTAAATAAATAAAAGCTATCAGATAAATTTAAAGAGCTTTTTTGTTTTATTTTCATTTTTTTTGTATAAAATATCACAATCCAAAACAAATAAACTGTTTTTACCCAAGTTTAAGTCTCAAATTTGAGAGTTTAATGCATTTTGCTAAAGCATAACCTAAGCCTGATGCACCTTCATCACCAATATTATTGTTACTTTTGAAATATTGAAGAAAAAATATATCATTAAATTGTTAATTAGAAGGAAAAAATGAAGAAAAATATGAAATAATAAGATTAATTAATATAAAAAACAAAAGTTGAAAATAAAATGATGAGTTTTTAAATTAACAAAGAAAAAATAAAAAAAAGCAAGCACGATAAAATGAAAAAGAAAAAAGAGCTTTATTGTTTTTAATTAGTTTTTATAATTAAAAATATCTCAATTCAAAACAAATAAACTGTTATTACCGAAGGTCAAGTGTCAAATTTAAGAGATTAATGCATTTTGCTAAAGCAGAACCTAAGCCTGATGCACCTTCATCACCAATTTTATTCAAACTTTTGAAATATTAAAGAAAAGATATATCATTAAATAGTTAATTAGAAGGAAAAAATTATTAAAAAATATGAAATAATAAGATTAATTAATTAATAATAAAAGCAAAAGTTGAAAATAAAATGATGAGTTTTTAAATTAACCCTTTCGACTGGGGGAGTTTTTCACCTTTAAAATAAAGAAACCAAAATTATTAATTATTATATATAAACACAGAATTTTATATAATTCATAAACATTCAAAAGTTAGCTCCCCCGATTCTAAGGTGTTAACAAA